GTTTGCATTCGTGATCGCATTTCGGTTTGTAGGGATAATCTTTCGTGTAGTGTCTAAAACAAACAAACAAACAAACAAACTTATGTGAAATTATCATTATTATTATTATTTTTGCATTATTTACCTGTCGTAAATTTCCATGAGGTCATCATCCGTTTTAAGCCTTTCGTAAAATTTATTCCAATCGACCGGAAGTAGTGAATTTAATTCGTAATCGGATTTTGCCGCGTAAAGTTTTTCCCAAATCGGTTTCCTTTGAATATTTGATTTTTTTAAATTCATTATCCAACATTCGTAATCGACTACGTCCTGAATAAAAAAAAAGTTATTATTGACAGACGTCATAATTTTTTTCCCGCCATTTTTTTTTTTTTTAAATAATAAAACTTACGTAAAATGTTTCGTTGTGATCTCCGTCGATTGTGTATATTCTATACCCTGGATTACCGTAAGCAAAAGTCGTGAGTGATGGACCCACGTAACCGACGGAAATCGGCCTTTTCGATGTTTCGCTGTCGTAATAAATTTCAATTTCGTCCCAATGAGTGTGACCGTAAAATTGAGCAGTCACCGTGTTTTCGAACCTTTAACCTTTTCGTTAATTAAAACAAAAAACAAAACAGGAAGAGGGGGGAAAGGGGAGGGAAAAAAATTTTCCGTACCTGCTTATTATATCGTAAAAATTTTTACCCCAAATTTTCAAACAATCGATGTAACCGGGAGGTATGTGACCGATGACGTGAACTTTTATATTTTTGTCTTCTGCTTCCTTTAATTCGTTAATAAACCATTTTAACATGTCTCCAGGATCGGTGCTGTTTAAAATAAGCCACCTGATAATGATGATAATTATTTAATTAATGAAAAATGGCGGAAATAAGGTTTTAAGGTTTTAAAAATGGCGTACCAGTTTGACGAGTAGCAAAAATTCGTGTTGAGTGATATTATTTTTAGATTGGGACGTACTGGTGCCACGTAAAAAGCTCCATATTTAACTGTTTTCAATGATGATTTGGGTAACATTAAACTCCATTGTCTCGCTAATTCATCGTATAGCCAAGAATTAACTTCCGGTATATTTAAAATCGGTGAAGGATACCTAAACGATTCGATAGAAAATTTTTAAAAATGGCGGCGACGTTTCCGTTTGAACGAGAGTGAAAAAAAAAATTTACAAATTCGGCGGACTCGCTTCGTGATTTCCCAATGCTGGAAAAATTGGAGTTTCCGGAAAATATTTTAATATTTTTTTAACCGTCGATCTTAACATGTATATGCTTTCTTCTTTCGTTTGTTTCCACGTTGCATGTGCCGGAATGTCACCCGTCCAAAGTATGTAATCAAAGGGCTAAAAAAAAATATAATCCATGATGACAACGCGACAAGAACGTCGCGACGTGACGAAATTGAGGGAGGGGGGAGGGAAGGGGCAAACTTACTCCTTGCGTTGAATTGACGTGATTTAAAAAACTATCCAGAGTTTTTTCCGGTATGTCGCATTTCCATCCTCCCCACATTCCTGCCGCGCTTTCGTTTATCTTAGGTTTACCACTTTCGACGCGACAGCAAAGCCAATCGTCACAAACGTCGCGGGTACCTTCTTTATATAAAGGATCGTAATGAGTGTCGGTTATTTGTAAAACTTTTAATTTCGGTGTGTTTTCCTATAAAAAAAATTTTCTTTTTTACATCATTTCCGGTTGACGAAAAAATCTTATTTTTTACCTTCGGAACCGGATGTTGTACGATCGGTGGTTTTCCACCAGGTATTTTCAAATGCCATCTGTGACCGTTGACGTCACCGTTACCACATTTTAAATTATAAACGAAACTGCAAACTTCTTGTGCCGTGTTTGTCGTGTTTTTAACAATCGTTATCATTACATCCTGATAAAAATATTTAATTATTTATAGAAATTATCATTCATCCCTTATCATTCATCCCTTATCATTTATTTATTTATTTATTTACCCCGAATTCGTTTATGTAATCTTTACAAAAATTTGATTTTCCAAAATTTAAAGTGACGCAAAATTTTTCCAAAACTTTTTTTATTTCCCATATCGGTTTTTCCCTCATTGTGTAGTAACGAATTAGATAAAAACCTAAACACGATAAGAAAAGGAAATTAATTGAAAAACCTTTTTCGAACCTTTTTATCATCATAAAAAAAAGGTTTTATTTGTACCTGACATGCATCCTATACATTCCGGAGCTGAATTTTCCTCATTTTTTTCCCTTTCAATTAAAAAATTTCTTATTCTATTTTCCAACAAAAATTGTTCCTGTTTATAAATTATTATTATTATTATTATTATTATTATTATTATTATTATTATTATTATTATTATCGTTTTAGAAAAAGCAGAAGATAAAAGAAAAAGAAAAATTCCCACCGTTAAATTTTTTAATTTTGTTGTTTGTTTTTGTGTTGTAGTTGTTACGTAATCGATGAATTCTTCGTTATAAAACGTTGGCGAGCCTAAAAAAAAAAATGTTTTTCTTTTACTTATCATTATTATCATCGACATAATAATCATCATTATCATCTCAATCACGACGTTATCAATTAAAATGGTGGGGGGAGACGGAGGGGGAACTTTAATAGCACTATAAATATAACACACAAACCTTCGATTTGAATTAGGAAGAAAAACGAAAAACCGAACATTAATATTATTATTATCTTTTCCATTTTTGTTAATCGCACGTTCGAACGCGAAAAAACCGTTAAATTCAAAAAAAAAAAAATTTTTTAACGAAAAACGTTTGAACTCATTCCCCTTGTCTTATTTTCTTTTGTCGAAAATTAGGTTTAAAAAAAAAAAGAAAAAAAGGTTTGGAAGAATGTTCTAGAAGGACGATTGGAAAGGTCGTCGTCGGACACAAACTACGCGACACAAACTGGCTGGTTTTTGTTGTTGCCTTACTTAACAATCAAATAAAAGCTAAATTTAAATATTTTTTTTCCAATATGGCCGACGCGAACGATAAAATTTCAATTCGGGCAAAAGTCATCAGTCATCATCATCATCATCATCATCATTCTTTTCTCGCGTTGCGTTATTATTATTATTATTATTATTATTATTATTATTTGATAAGATATTTTTTTTTGAAAAGGATTCTAAAGACGTTATCATTATCACTATTATTATTATTAATTTATTTAAAATTTTATACGTTTATCGATTGTTCTCGAATATTTTTATTATGGGAGAAGGGGAGGGGAAGAGAGAGAGAGAGGGGGGAGGGTGTGCGAGAAATTTTGTATTGTCGTAGTGAAAAATAAATAAATAAATAATAATAATAATGATGATGATAATAAAAAAATGTATAATTTGATTTTTTTACGAGCAACACACTGGACATGAACATCCGGTTACATCCAGTGACGTAAGCAGGAAAGTTAACGCCTCGTCCGGATGTACGACTTCCATAATGAAACATAAAAAAAAATTTTTTTTTTTTTGATATATTTGACCCCATTTCCGTCCCTCATGTTTTTTTTTTGTTCAGACCGTGCCTAAATAATTAATTCCCGCACCTGCATTTGTACCTGTGCGTGAGTGCGCGTGGGAGAGAGTGAGTGTTTGTTGTCGTTTCGTTCCATTTTTTTTACAATTTGAATTGTTTATTTGCGTTCTGGATTTTACATCCACGATCGGATACGGTGAAATGATTTCGGTATTAAATGTTGTGTTTTCACTTAGTGACACGATACGCGAATATGAAACAAAAACAAACAATTTTATTAACGTGGTTGTTGTTGCTGTTGTTGTTTAGTAATTCCTGTTGCGATTCTTCATCTCCTCCATCAACGGTATCGACGAAGATCACCCTTCCTCAAGGATATTTAACAGGAGTGAGTTATCATTATTATTATTATTATTTTTTTTTTTCCTTAAACGAAATTTTTTTTGTTTTATTGTAGATTCCGATATTAACGGATTCCAGTACTGGAGTCATTGCTTATCTCGGTGTGCCGTACGCTTTACCACCCATAGGAGATCTTCGTTTTGCCGTAAGTTGTATTGCTTTTTATATGCATGTGAAGAGAAAAACTAGAAAATTAATAGAACGTTCTCGAACAAGCCTCCCGAAAGACATCCGGGATGGAATCAAACATTATTCGCGGGTCATTTTCGTCCGGATTGTTTACAACTCCGACGAGATGCGGATTCGTCATCGGATACGACAACAAACGAAGATTGTCTTTACTTAAACGTATTCGTACCGGAAAATGCGATCAAATCAAGAAATTATCCCGTTTCCGTTTTCATACACGGAATTGATTACGTAACAGGTTTCGTACGAAATAATAATAATAATGATTGTAAAATTTATCACATCGAAAACAAATTGGAAAAATGTTATGTTTAAGGTTCGCCACTGACGATAAACGGGGAAGAATTGGCAAAAGAAGGTATCATCGTCGTGACTTTTAGTTACAGGCTAAACGTTTTTGGTTTTTTAACTTTCGAAGATGAATTCGGACGTGGAAATTTGGGTCTTCTAGACCAGTACATGACACTCGTATGGATAAAGGACAACATACAATATTTTGGAGGTTCTCCGACGAACGTGACGCTCATGGGTCACGGTTCCGGTGCAAGTTCCGTATTGATACACATGACGTCATCAAGAACGAAAGGTTATATGAGAACGTGATGACGTAAAGAATCGTTTTTCGTAACGTTAAATTGTTTTTTTTTTTTTTTCTATAAAAAGATTTATTTCAAAGAGTCATCTTAATGTCGGGTTCGTTATTTTCACCGTGGCTTAAATCGACACCGCGACGTAACGGTTCTCATAATCAACATCCGGTCTTATCAGCATCTCGAATGATAGCGAGGAGTTTGGGTTGTTACAATGAAAATCACGTTGGGAAAAAATCTAAAAGCGTTTTGGATTGTCTAAGGCAAAAAGGAAGTGAGGAAATATTAAAAGCTTTCAAAGCGCGTACAAGGTGAGGCAAAAAAAATTTTTTTCGCAGAGATTAAAAGAAAAGTGAAGAGGGGGTAAAGGGGGAGGGGGAAAAGGGGGAGGGGGAAAAAGGGGGAGGAGAGAGGAGTAAAATAAATTTCGAAATCTGTTTACGTCTGGGATAAAAATAAATAAATAAATTTTTTCTACACTTGGGATTTTAACCGGTTCATTTATTTTTTATTTATTTTTTTGTAATAACAAGAACGGAAACTGGAGCAATAGTTTAGGTCCAATTTCCGATGATTTTTTACAACCCGGAAATCAATACCTGACAATGGATCCGACGGAAGCGATCAAATTAGGAAAATATCACAAAATGCCCATAATGACGGGGATAACGACGAACGAAGGAACCGTGACTTTGAGTAAGTGGGAAATTTTCTAGAATTTTCTTTTTTCCCCCTCCCCTCTTTCCCCTCCTTTTTCCCCCAAGGAATTTGTGTTTTTTAGTATTATTATTATTATTTTATTTCCATAAAAAGGCAATTGGGACCCGTTGATTGAACAAAATAACGAAGGAGTCGAATTTTTTTTACGTAACACGGCCGTTACGAACATATTGGAAAAATATGATTTTACTCAACCGGAAATAAAAAATTTAATACTCTGGAAATATCTGGATAAAACACCGAAAAATAAAAAATTAATTTTACAACTATTGGAAGTGAGTAGAAAAAAAATGTCGATTGTACTATCAATCAATTAACGCCCTAGTTTTTCTTTTTTCTTTTTTTTTTTTTATTAATAGTTATACAATGATGCTATGTACGTGGCGCCATTTTGGAAACAAACGAAAATATTGTCGGAAAATAATCCATTTCCGGTTTTCGTGTATTTATTCGAACATTTTTCCGGAGATTATTTAGGAAATTATGGGGATTTGTTAAATTTAACGACGAGTACTCACGGTTCTGAATTAGAATTTCTTTTTGGTCCTGGACTTTTTCAAAAGGTAATCAAAAAAATGAGAGAGAGAGAGAGAGATAGACAGAGAGAAATAGATAAAGACAGAGAGAGAAAAAGAGAGGGAATGAAAGATAGAGAGAATGTGAGAGAAATAGAAAGAGAGAAAGCGGGAGAGAAAAAGAGAGAAATAGATAAAGACGGAGAGAAAAAGAGAAAGAGGGAAAGAAAGAGAGAGAGAGAGAGAGAAAGAAAAGAAGTTAGGAATGGAAAAAAAGGCAAAAAAAAAAAGGAAATGAAAGGAAAATTTAATTGGAATTAATTATTTTTCAAATTTAAATCTTTTCCTTTTCTTTTATTATTATTACTAATAATAAAAATATTTAAATTTTAGTTAATAAAATTTTTCATTTTACTTTAATAATAATAATAATAATTATGTTTATTTATTTATTTCACAGGTAACGGGTAAAAAATTTACAGTGGGAGAAGAAAGATTAATGGCTAAAATGAAAAGACTTTTAACGTATTTCATAAGATTCGGGTAAGTAAAATTAAATTAAATTGATTGATTAATTTTCCCGAAGGGGGGTTGGGGGTAGGGGGGAGAAAAACAAAATGGCGGAAATCGAAATGTTTTTTTTGTTTGTTACACGTAGGGATCCGAATCCGCCATCTTACGGTTACACGATTTGGGATTCTTATAATGGCGATGACGTCACCGGTAATGGCGTCCGCGGCGGTGATGGCGTCGGAAATAAAAAAGAAAATTATTTGAAATTTTTCGTCGATCCCGAAACGGGTAGAAATTTACAAAAAGAAAATGGTAATCCGAATAAGGAAGGAACGACTTTTTGGAACGATTTACTTCCGTCCGTTGAAAAATTATCAATGGAAAAAATGAATAAATTAAACGAGTTGTTAATTTTGGCGGGAAATTCAAACGTCGGCGGTCATCAATCGGGTAAATATGAATTTTTTTAAATATATGATAATTAAATTTTTTTCGCGCGTTTTTTTCTGTTTTTTTTTTTTTTTTTTAGGCGCGTGTAGTTCTTACAAGAACGCAATGTTTACAACTTTGGCATTTTTAATTCTTCTTCTCGTAATGTTGGTATTATGTTTGTTGTTTATTAAAAAACGTTCGAAACAAAGGAATCAAAGCATTTTATGACAATTAAAACAAGAGGGAAAGTGGAGGAGGAGGAGGAGCAGGATGAGCACGACGGAAGGGGATGCGAATGAAAAAAGTCCAAATACCTGGAGGAAAAATTTAATGACTAATAGGCTTTGAATGAATGACGTGGAAGCAGAAATAAAACCCCCAAATATTTACATTTATATAATTTAATTTATTTATTATTAAAGTTCGTTAATTGTCAATTTTATTTATTAATAAAAATTTTATCAATCGGGATAAAAGCGATGATGATGATGATAATATGAGGTGGAAAATTCCAGGAAAAGAAAAAAAAAATTTTTTTTTTTTTTTTTAAATATTTTTCAAATCCCTGGAAATTTTTTTAATCTTTTCTTTTTAAGTCAATTAAATGAAAAAGACAAAAGAGAACAAAAAAAGAAAAAAAAAGATTTAATCATTTATATTGAATATAAATAATAATAATAATTATAAAATTTATTTATAAAGATTAAATTACTGGAAACAAATTTTATAAATTAAATAAATAAGTAAATGAATGAAAAGATGATTTTTATTTTATTTCTGCTTCCACGTCTTTTTTTTTCTCCAAAACAAAAAAAAAAAAAGGAAACAATCAAAGGAAAAGAAAAAAGGTTTTTTTTTCGTAAGTTTAAAATTAAATTTTTCCAGAAACCTGGGGAGAGAGACAATAAAAAAAAAAAAAGAAAATTTCTCGCTTCCGGCGTTTTTGTTATTGTTCTTTTTTCTTCTTCCACGTACCTTAACAAAAATTTTCTTTTTCTTTTTCTTTACTTTTTTTCTCTTTTTCTTACTTCAAATTACTCTCCAGGAATTTTTTTCTTTTTTTTTTTTTCTCCAGGAAACCAATAATATCATTTTCGTTTACGAAGATGTGGGAGAGGGGGAAGGGGGAAAAAAGGTTAAAAATCGAGTTTTGTTGATAATCAATTCGAGCAAGAACAAAAAAAAATAAATATTGCGAAGAAAAAAATTGTTTCAAAACATTCGCCGTCGCGTACGATTGTTTTGAAACATTCGAAAAAATTTTTTTTTTGGTTTTTGATAGGATCGTGAAATCGTTAAGGTGTGAATAAATAAAAAAAAAACGGTTTTTTTAAATAATTATTTATTAAAAAATTTAAACAAACGAATAAAACTATTACGAAATCCTTTGTTCATGAAACAATAAGTTATCGGATTGCAACAACCGCTCGTATAAGCTAAAAGTTGACAAAAACTTATCATTTTATAACCGATTTTACCACGATAAACGAGATGAGGCCAAAAAAGTGCCAAAGTATTTATGACGTAAAGCGGAGTCCAACAAACGAAAAATTCTAAAACAACTACAAACAACATTTTTATAACTAATTGTTTTTTTCTTAAACTTCTTTCGTAATTATTATGTCTCAAACCTGCAAAAGAAAAAGAAAATTTTCTCAAATTATTTTTTGAGAATTCTTCTGCTAAAAAACAAAAACAGGTACTCACTTATACTCGAACACGATTTAATCGATTGAAAAACTTCGAGTTTTGTGACGTCATTTAATATAATTTCCCTTTTTAATTTTTTCTTATTACGACCTGTTGTTATATTATTATTATTATTCGGATTGTATTCATCGGATAAATCGTACGATGAATTTTTTTCCCTTTTTGAATTTTCCTCGTGACGTTGATAAGAAACATCTTCTGATAAGAAAATAATTTCTTCATTATTAATTGATAATTTTTTTTTTTTACACGATGAATTTTTATTATTTTTCGACGATCTATTACTATTGACACGACCTATGTATGATAAATAATTTAAATCGTTATTATTTGTTTTTAATAAACCGGAAATGGAAAGTTTTCTGATGATGATGAGTTAAAAACCTGATTTTTTAGATAAATCCCTCCATAATGTAATTGAAATGAGGTAATAAGTGACTCCCAATGCCAAAAGTGGTATTAATAAAAGTAATAAATCTAATAATAAATTATAAATCCTTTCGTAATCACCGTTCGGCCATTTTTCTCTACATTTATGACGTCCTGCTGGAGAAAAAAAAATTTTCTTTTAACTCGTAAAAAAAAAAAAAAGAGGGAAAAGTAAAAGGAAAAGGAAAACCTTTGTTTGTCGGTTGAAGTTCTGTTAGTATAAATATTGGAAGCATTGTTATAGTACTTCCGGTCCATATGTAACATATTAAATGATAAGCGTGTGATAACGTTTGCCATCTTCTGCTTCTAAGAGGATGACATATTGCGTAATATCTTTCTATTGATATGGCTACGAGTGTCCATACACTGACTGCGACCGACGTCGCTGGAAAATTTTCAAAAAAAAAAAAAAAAATTGATCTTTTAATTATTTTTTGTTTGTTTAACAACGAAACAAACAAACAAACAAAAAACTTTTTATAAGAGAGGGGGGAAGAAAAAAACATTTAATTATAATAAAGTTATTACTTAAGTGATAATTTGTATTTTCTTTTTTCACGCGCGCGAGAAAATTTTTAATTTTTTTAAAATTTTTTTTTTAAATTGTTGGTCACTCGCATAAGATAAGCACGAGTGAAACAATTAATTTTTTTTTTGGCATCCGCGCAAATTTTTAATTGTTTTTTTTTTTTTTTAAATTGTTGGTCACTCGCATAAGATAAGCACGAGTAAAACAATTAATTTTTTTTTTGGCATCCGCGCAAATTTTTAATTGTTTTGTTTTTTTTAAAATGTCGGTCACTCGCGTAAGATAAGCATGAGTGTAATATATTAATTTTTTTTCTCGTTCGCGCGAATTTTTAATTGCTTTTTTTTTCTTTATGTGTTTGTCACTCCTGTAAGATAAGTATGAGTGAAAATATCAATTTGTTTTTCGCTCGTGCGAATTTTCAATTGTTTTTTTTATTATTTGAAATGTTTGTCATTTGCGTAAGATAAACATGAGTGAAACAAATTACTTTTATTTTTTAAAAAAAAGGAAATAGTTTGCTGGAGTCTTTTCTTTATTATTTTTATTTTTTTTTTTGAGTATTGAAAAAAAATTTTTCACTTAATTTTTTTTTTTTCTTTTATCGTAATTTAAAAAATAATTAACCTGGAGAAAAAAAAATGGCGGATTATTACGAACAAAAAAAAAGGGGGTAAATTTAAAAAAATAAAAAAAAATTCAAGTACGTTGATGTAATTTTTTTTTTTTTAACTCACACCGTTCTTAAAACGGCGGGCGGGTTTTCCTCATTTTCCAAATTTTTTTTCCCCCTTTAGTTTTTTCTCCATAATATTATTATTATTATTATTATTAAATGATTTTACGAAAGAAAATTTTTTGAGAGGTAGTTTTTTTTCTTTTAGTTTTTTTCCTTTTTGGAAAACTAATTTTGATGTTGCTATAAAATTTTTTTCTTGTTTTTCCTGGGATTTTTTTTCCTTTTTTTTTTTTAAATCTTTTTTTGCGTATATAATAATAATAATAATAATGCAAGAGAATTTTACTTGGATGTATATAATAATAAGAATAATAATAATAAAAAATTATTTTTTTGAAATGATGGAATAAAATGAAAATTTTTCTTTAAAAAAAGTTCGTTCATTGTAATGGTTAGTTTGTGTGTGTGGGTGAAAGGAAGAGATAGAGATAGATAGATAGATAGAGAGAGAGAGAGAGAGAAATCTTACCTTGTAAATATGGAACGAGTTTACACATGGTTTCTCCAAAGACGAAATCTCTTAAAAGTGTACCAATAAGTGTAAAAGGCATACAAAGGACGGCCAATATGAGATCGGAAACGGCCAAATTTAAAAGAAAAACGTTTGTGTTTGTTCTCATACGAATGTTTTTAACGAGAGTTAATATGACGACAATGTTGCCAACAACGGCGAGAAAAAAAATTATTGAATATAACGGAATTTCCCATTTTCCATTTTTCCAAAGTGTTTCCAATAATGTTTTTGAATATTTCAACGAAAAAGACGTTAAATTATCCGACCAATAATAATCGAATATATTTGTATCGTTTCCGTAAATCGTTTCCATTTCCGTTTATTTATTATCTTTAATAATACTAATGATGATGATTTTTAGAAAAAAAACAAAATTTTAATAAACGACGGACGGAAATAAACAACGAACGACATTTTGTCAAAAAACTGGAAAGAAAAAAAAAAAAGAAAAAAATTGAATCGGAAATATTATTTAGACTACGAAATATTTTCTCCAGAGAGAATTAAATGTTTTCCCCCCCTTTTCTCCAGGAGTTTTTCCCATAAAATTCGATAAAAAAATCCACGAAAATTTAATAATGGTGATAATAATAATTTATTTTTAAAAAAAACTTTTGATCGTTAAAACTTTTTTGGGGTCAATCGTTAAAAGTTTTATTCAAAACTATTTTATTTGCTGGAGATTTTACTGGAGAAATTTTCCAATTTTCACTTTCTTTAATTTGAATGAAGGAAATCTTTGATTGAAATTATCCAAAAAAAAAAAAAGAATGATAAGTTTGTTGATGAAAAAGGATAAATTTGGAAAATTTTTAATAATAGAAATTTCGAGAAAGTGTGAAAATTCAATAGAAAAAAGAGGGGGAGGGGTGGGGAAGAAAGAAAAGGTTGGGGAAATTATATTTCAAGTGTTAAATCTGTGACAAATGTGTTATATCTGGAAATGATTGTACTTCCGGTTTTATTACAAATGTTAAAGAAAAAATCGTTGTAATATACAAACAATCCGGTGAAATTTTATGACGAGGCTGGACGATGACGTCATCAACGGAAGTTCTTATCATTGAGAATTTATCACGGATTCCAAAGAAAAAAAAAAATCTTTCTCCTGGAGAATAAATTTTTTTTCAAAAATCGTTATTTGTTTTTCTCCGGAGTGTAAAAAAAAATGTATGTAAATTTTTTCGTAAACGGGAAATTAAAAATTGTTTAAATTCTTTTCGGTTTATTTTTTTTTTATCAACGTTACGTGTTATCCCCCCTTCTCCTCCTTCTTCCCCTCTTTAAATCGATATTGGTTTCGAATTTTCTTTTTTTTGTTTTTTTTTTTTTTCCTTCCGTCAAGATTTCAATTTTTACTAGGTAGGCTGGAATTATTTTCTGGAAAATAAAATCATCCGCTTTTCCATATGCCCCGAAGAAAATTTAAAAACAAAACAAAAAAGGAATTAAAGTGTATGAAAATAATAACGAACGTTAAAAAACGAACGAACCTTTTTTTTCACTGGAAAAATGGAAAATTCTGGGAAAAAAATTTTTTTTTTGTAATTACGACGAAATAATCCGGAAGTCGATTAAAACAATCGGAAAAGTTTATTTTTTTTTTAAATTTCAAATTTAAAAAAAATTATTATTATTATTATTATTATTACTAACGGTTTTTCATATTTCATTTTCGTGGGACCCCACCACCTCCACCCCCACCTTCCCACCACTTTAACTCTCAATCATTTCCGGTTTAAGAAAAAAATTTTTTCGATTTATTTATTGTTCGTTCGAAAGTGTTTTTCTTTTTACCTTTTTTCCAAACAAAGAAAAAAAATTCCAATAACAAACTGGAACCCTTTAGTCATTATTATTATTATTGACAACAACAACAACAACAGCAATAATAATAATAATAAATAAATAAACGCGTCGTGTAAAACGATTAGGAAAATGTCATTTTTCATTTTTTTTTTTTTTATTTGTTGAGTTTCCCTCTCTCTCTCTCTCTCTCTCTTTCTCTCTTTCTCTTTTCCATTCCTCGTTCTCCAGTCTTACCAGTTTCCAATTATTATTATTTTTTTCTAGATTTATTTATTTCTTAAGTTTTTAAGTTTAAAATAAAAAAAATAAAAACAAACTAACAAACAAAAACTTTGAAACAAACAAATGCAAAAAAAAAAAAATTTAAAATATTTTTTAATAAAATAAAAAAGTCAAAGTTTTAAAATAAAATTTTTTTTTACGCGAATCGAAATTTCAATAAAATTCATTATTATTATTATTATTATTATTATTATTATTATTATTATTATTATTATTATTATTATTATTATTATTATTGTTATTATTATTATTATTATTATTATTATTATTATTATTATTATTATTATTATTATTATTATTATTATTATTATTTTAATCAAAAACAGTAAACGTGAACGACAGCAACAAAATAAAAATGGATAAAAAAAGTTTACTGGAATTTTTTTTTAGGTAACCGCAAAAAACGGGTTTCGTTATCGAATCCCTAAATAAAATGAAAAAATTGTTTTTTGTTTTTATAATAATAATAATAATAATAATAATAATAATAATAATAATAATAATAATAATAAATGTTTAAAATGGGTAGGATGATAAACTACTGGAAAGAGAGAGAGAGAGACTGGAGAAAGAGTGAAAAATGCGGGGGAGGAATTTATTATTAAAATCAAATAGATGAATAAATAATAAGAGTCTTGAAATATTTTTTTTAAATAAATGAGTAACAAAAAATTATTATTATTATTATTACTACTGTTTTCTTTTGTTCCAGACTTTTGGAAATTTCAAGGGGGAAACGAGAGGGGGGTTGAATTCATTTCAAGTCCGGTGAATCGGAATAATGAAATCGATTGAGTTAAAAAAAAAAGTTTTTCCGAATTCGGGTATAAATATATTTAAAAGTTTTTTGTGTTTTATTGAATTCAAATGAAATTATTTATCTGGAGAAAAAAAGGATAGATAGAAGGAGGGGTAGAGGAGGGAGAGGAGGGGACATTACTGGAACGAATGTGATCGATACCGGGGGAAAAAAAACCAGAATCGTCCTTATCGTTTAAAATAAAATAAATAAAAATTTTAATTTTTTTTTGAGGAAGTAAATTCCATGAAATTTTTTTCCAGTGATTTTCTCCAGTAAAATTTTTCAATCGAAAAAAAAATTTTTTTTTTTTTTTGTTAAACCTAAACAAACAAATTTATCGTTTTCAATTTTTAAATTTTTTTTTTTTAGAGGGGGGGAAAAAATTTTTTTTTTCCTTTCATCATCGGGAAATTTTTCCCCCTCTTTCCCCCCTCTCTTTTTTTCCTTCCGACTTTCCAAAATATTATCATCCAACCTTATTTTTTCCCATTTTTTCCTTTTTTTTTCCAGTTGTTGATTCCATAAAATAAAATAAAAATGAAAAAAAAAAAAAAAAAAACCATATTGTAAAAAAAGGTAAAAAAAAATTTATTACCCTCTCTCTCTCTCTCTCTCTCTCTCTCTCTCTCTTTGTCACTCTCACCGTCTCTCTCTCTCTCTTTTTCCCGACATTATTTTTTTTTTTAATATTGGAGAAAATAATAAAAATTCAATTTATTTATTTTCCTTTCCTTTTTTTTTTATTTTTCAAAGGTACAAATACGTTATTCGGTATTGCCAACTTAAATTTGTCAACAAAAAAAAAAAAAAAGGAAAAGGAGAAAAAAAAAATAAAAATAATTATTATTATTTATGGTTCAAATGATTCAAATACTTTTATTTCTTTCCTTTTCTTTCGTTGACTATATATATATATAAAATTTATTTCCAGTAAAACTGGATAAGAAAAAGAAACTGATTGGAAAAGAAAAATAACTGAACTGACTGGAAATGAATAAGAATACGTTAAGAAAATAAAATAAAATAAAATTTAAATTTTTAAAATTTTCCTTTTGAAATCTATAAACCGTCTTAAAAAATAAAAAATACGTTTTCCTTTGAATCTCTTCCTTTGAATCACTTTTGATTTTCTTTTTCCTTTTTTTATAAACTTTTCTCCCCTCCCCTCCACACGTAGTAAAATTATTATTATTATTATTGGTTTTTTTTTTATTTGGAAAAGGAAAACAACTTTTTTCAACAAACAAACAAACAAACCAAAAGAAAATTTTTTTTTTTTTTATTTGTATTTCGTTATCATCATCATCATCATCATTATTATTATTATTTTCTTTAAGTTTATTT